TTTTCCTCTGGTTGCTGTTGTTCATTACCATTGTTGCTGTTCCCTTGTTCATTACCATTGTTGCTGTTCCATTGTTCATTACCATTGTCCATTCTTGCTGTTCCATTGTTCATTTCATTGTCCATTCTTGCTGTTCCATTGTTCATTATCATTGTCCATTGTTGCTGTTCCCTTGTTCATTATCATTGTCCATTGTGGCTGTTCCATTGTTCACTACCATGGTCCATTGTTGCTGTTCCCTTGTTCATGATCATTGTCCATTGTTGCTGTTCCATTGTTCATTACCATTGTCCATTGTTGCTGTTCCATTGGTCATTTCATTTTCCATTGTTCACTACCATGGTCCATTGTTGCTGTTCCCTTGTTCATGATCATTGTCCATTGTTGCTGTTCCATTGTTCATTACCATTGTCCATTGTTGCTGTTCCATTGTTCATTACCATTGTCCATTGTTGCTGTTCCATTGGTCATTATCATTGTCCATTGTTGCTGTTCCATTGTTCATTATCATTGTCCATTGTTGCTGTTCCCTTGTTCATTACCATTGTCCATTGTTGATGTTCCATTGTTCATTACCATTGTCCATTGTTGCTGTTCCATTGTTCAATAACATTGTTGCTGTTGCTTGCCTCCTTGGGTGTGTTGCCCGAGTATCAGAGAGTGCACTGCTGTCTAGAAGGCCATTAACACCAGGAACAGGGGAACCCAAACATCAGAGGTTCTTTATGGAAGAGTTTATGTATAATAGAAAAGCAGAATATTATTTTATAGCCCAGTTGAATTTTCATTTTAAATCAGCTAAATCTATTCTAGGTGCATCAAAAAGTATTCACAGTCTTACAGTTTCATTTCTTTCCAAAGCAGCCACATGCTGACTGGATACAGTAGAAAGCCTGTGCCCTGCCAGCGTGTTGCAGAGAAGGACCCTTCTTCTGTGTGTAAGCCGAAGTCTCTCTGCAGACATCTGACATGGTCCTGCTAAATTGGAGCTTTCCAATCATCAGGAAGCGAGATTGCAGAGTTATAGATATGATTTAGTGGGGGGCATGTCAGGCCTGTGAGAGGATCGAAAACTGCATGCATATGATAACCAGATATTTTGAAGAGGCAATCATGGAACTGAATGGGAATTCAGAAAAGGTAAATATAAGGAAGTCAAGCTGTGGGTTTTACTCACACCAGTCACTTTGCCCTCATTTCTCGTTTAAGGTCTATGTAAGACTCCATTCACATCTGAGCATAGCGGTTTTTCACGCTTTTGTTGTGCATATTTTACGGTGATTTTTGCGTCTTTTTGCACGTTTTCATACAGCATTTTTGAGTTTTGGCCTTTTTTTATTAGCCAGTACAGAAAAATATCATCTGTTGCATCATTTGTTGCTAGGTTTTTCTGCTTCAGCTTTTCCATCAGCTTATATTTCTATTATTATTATTATTTTATGATGTATTCATTATTTTTTTGTTAGGATGATGATGATGATAATAAGAAATTACTAAATAAATGTTAAATAAATACACAAGTAAATAAAAATAATCATAAATGCTATGTAATAATAAATAAATAATAATTAACCCCTATTATAAGTACAGCACTATCCTTCTTTAATTAGGACACCCCACCAAGTCACTTTCACAGTCCTTCCCCTGAAGTACATATATCAACAGATCAATCTTTCAGCAAACTTGATTACCATATACTAAATGTTAGTGTGTAAAAAATAAAGTCCAAAATCAAAGCCCAAATAAAGTCCCAAAAAAATTCAAAAAAAGGATTCCACAAGTATTAATTAATAGAATCAATCTTTATCTGTAATTTCTCAATTCTTCATATCTCCAAACCGCTTTTGTGATATACTCCAAACAAAATCTTCATATACCTCAAAGAAAAAAAAAACTCAACATGTGTATTATCCCAAAGAAAAAAATTCACTAAAACGTGCCACACGTGTTTCATGCAAACAAAACTAACGTGCCACCGCAACCGTGAAGAAAATCCCTCTGCCTTAAGTATCAATCCACTGCATACCAATAACAGAAGTCCATAATTACCCTCAGAATAGTATCAAGGGTCTGAATGCGATTATTTCCAACCTTTTTGTTCCTTCAGCCTTTCCAGCCACTTCCCACAGACCTCATAAACAGACCAGGGATCAGTATGTGTCATAAATACTCATAACACTTTATTGTAGCAACTTACATTAAAATAAGATGAGATCAGCTTCCACACCAAGAAAATTATTCCACAATCCTGCCTCTCCTCAGAAGTGTGTAGGTATCCTCACCATCCCACTCCCGAGGGGGAATAAATCAACTGTGGTAGGTTTCCCAGTAGCCAAACACATGAGGATTCCAGGACAGGCACAACCGCGTGTACCAGAATCAAAGATGGCCGCCACCGCACTTCCGGAAGAGCGTCACTACGTCATCACGTCACGTGCCCCGGACGTGTTTCGTCACATGTTGACAAAGTCCGGATGTGACGAAACGCGTCCGGGGCACGTGACGTGGTGACGCTCTTCCGGAAGTGCGGTGGTGGCCATCTTTGATCCTGGTACACGCGGTTGTGCCTGTCCTGGAATCCTCATGTGTTTGGCTACTGGGAAACCTACCACAGTTGATTTATTCCCCCTCGGGAGTGGGATGGTGAGGATACCTACACACTTCTGAGGAGAGGCAGGATTGTGGAATAATTTTCTTGGTGTGGAAGCTGATCTCATCTTATTTTAATGTAAGTTGCTACAATAAAGTGTTATGAGTATTTATGACACATACTGATCCCTGGTCTGTTTATGAGGTCTGTGGGAAGTGGCTGGAAAGGCTGAAGGAACAAAAAGGTTGGAAATAATCGCATTCAGACCCTTGATACTATTCTGAGGGTAATTATGCACTTCTGTTATTGGTATGCAGTGGATTGATACTTAAGGCAGAGGGATTTTCTTCACGGTTGCGGTGGCACGTTAGTTTTGTTTGCATGAAACACGTGTGGCACGTTTTAGTGAATTTTTTTTTTTTGGGATAATACACATGTTGAGTTTTTTTTTTCTTTGAGGTATATGAAGATTTTGTTTGGAGTATATCACAAAGGCGGTTTGGAGATATGAAGAATTGAGAAATTACAGATAAAGATTGATTCTATTAATTAATACTTGTGGAATCCTTTTTTTTGAATTTTTTTGGGACTTTATTTGGACTTTGATTTTGGACTTTATTTTTTACACACTAACATTTAGTATATGGTAATCAAGTTTGCTGAAAGATTGATCTGTTAATAATTAACCCCTAACCTTAACCCCATAACTCTTAAAAAATATATTAAATTATTAATATTATTATTGTTATTATTATTAATAAACACCTAAACCCAAACAAAAAAATATGATAAATATAATATTTTTTTTAAATCCACAAATAAATACTAATATTAAATTAATAATAATTAACCCATAACCTTAACCCCCTAAAAAAGTTAAAAAACAATAAAAACCAAATAACAACAAAAACCAAACAAACAAACCACCACCAACAACAACCACCACACAAACAAACCAACAACAACCAAACAAAAAAAGCAACAACAAAAACCCAAGGAACAACAACCCTAACCCTTTTTTTAAGGTTAGGGGTAATTATTATTTACTTAACATTTATTTACTCATATATAATGACTTTTTTAAAAAACATTTTCATTTGAGCAGAAAATCGCGCAAAACACACGGTAAAATGCGCAAAACCGCTTAGTGTGGTCAGTTTTCAATAGGCAAGCAGAGGGGCTGGTAGAAACATCAGGAAATTCACACAAAGGAAGCAACACAAAGAGAACAGGATACATTTTAATACAAGTACATGGTACAGCAGTCACAGATCAGGAATATGAAATGTTGGATTTACATACTCTTTAATCTAAATTGGATTATACATGCTTACTGTACCTTAACTAGAATCTGTTTTTAAAGGGAACCTTATGCTGTACAGTAAGGTTTAAGCATGCTTGGGTCCATACTAACCTGTCCTGCTGCCCCTCTGCCCATGCCACCAAGCGCCACTCCAATTCTGAAAAAACGGTTGTTGAAAAAGTGAAACTGGCACTTCCTGGAATGTCAGTTTCCTGTCTCTCCTGTAAATATCACTGGATCTTCCCTCTGACCTCCACCTACTACAAAAGACAGTAGGGACATGGAGGTTATCAGGAGGAACCGATGAGAGCTGGGAGGGATCTGGGAAGAATCAACACTTTTACAAATGTTAGTTTCAGTGCAGGTTTCGGTAGAAGATTTCTTAGAATTGGGCAGCAGAAGAAGGCAAGACTTGACTTAGACATTTTTGTATAGAGACAGAGTCACTCTTAAAAACTTTTTGTAGTATTAATCAGTATCTTGCTTTCACGGCCTAACCCTGATTATTTACATATGTATCTAAAGAGTTGTCATCCAAGGAGGTAAGGAAGTACCGGCGGGATGAACTTAGACTAGGTAACCACTAGCCTACAGGGCACTTATACCCCCTTCCTGCCCAGGCCAATTTCCAGCTTTCAGCGCTGTCACACTTTGAATGACAATTGCGCGGTCATGCAACACTGTACCCATATGAAATTTTTATCATTTTTTTTAGACAGATAGAAATTTCTTTTGGTGGTATTTAATCATCTCTGGGATTTTTATTTTTTCTTAAACAAAACAAAAACCACTGAAAATTTTGAAAAAAAAAAAGTTTTTTTTTAGTTTTTGTTATACAGTTTTGTAAATAAGTGATTTTTCTCCTTCACTGAAGTGCGCTAATGAGGCTGCAGTGATGGGCACTGATAGGCTGCACTGATGGACACTGATAGGTGGCACTGATGGGCAGTGATGAGGAGGCCCTGGTAGGTTGCACTGATGGGCATTGACAGGCATCACTGATGGGCACTGAAAGGCAGCACTGATACATGACACTGATATATGGCACTGATAGACGGCACTGATAGGCAGCACTAACTGGCACTGATAGGCGGCACTGATAGGCGACACTGACTGGCACTGATAGGTGGCACTGATCGGCAGCACTGATAGGTGGCACTGATTGGCATTGATAGGTGGCACTGACTGGCACTGATGGGGGACATTGAAATTCAGCTCAGATGGGCACTCATGTGGCATTGATGTGCACTGGTATGCACTGACATGTGGCATTGATGTGGCACTGGCACGTGGCACTGACTGCTGGCACTGATGGACACTGACAGGTGGCACTTCTGGGGCCACACTGATCATCAGGGCACACTGATCATCAGTGCCCTGATGATCAGTGCACATGTCCCCTCCGCGGAAAGCCGATTACCGGTTCTCCTCTCCTCTCGAGCTGTCAGCATGACAGCTCAAGAGGAGAGAAATGCCGATAACCGGCATTTCCGTGTTTACATGTGATCAGCTGTGATTGGACACAGCTGATCACATGACCGAGCCGACATCTTCGTCTCTTTCTGTGATCCGCTGTGTCCGAGGGACACAGCGCACCAGTGATCAGCGTGCTGTGCCGCGTATGCGCGGTGAGAATGGAAGGACGTCATATGACGTCCTATCAGAACGAGAGAACCACCTTGCGCCCGTCATTGTACTATATGGCGGGTGGAAGGTGGTTAAACTAGACCAGGCAGCACAGTGGCTAAATGGTTAGCACTTCCACTTGGCAGCACTGGGTTGTTGGTTCAAATCCCAACCACGGCACCACCTGCCTGGAGTTTGCATGTACTCCCTGTGCCTGTGTGGGTTCCCTCTGGGCAATCTGGTTTCCTCCCACACTCCAAAGACAGGCTGATAGGTTAGTTGGCTCCTGTCTAAATTGGCCTTAGTATGAGTATGTATGAATGTGAGTTAGGGACCTTAGATTGTACGCCCCTTGAGGGTTAGGGACCGATGTGAATATTCAATATACTGTATATGTAAAGTTCTGCGTAAATTGACAGCACTATAAAAGTACCTGTAATAAATAAAATAAACTATGGCCTCCCATTACAACTATATGTGCTGTGACACTTAATTACAACAGCATCTGCACTCACAGTTTTCACTTCCCCTTCAAAGTCAACCACATACCTGTTGATTCTGCCATGAAGGTCCACCTGAAGTAACCTCCTATGATGGTGTGGCAATGATGCTGGACTGCTCCTGACTCATGAAGACTGTTCCTGCTTGCACTGCACTGGGATGGAAAAAAAGTTGCTGAGGGCGTGGCTATCAGCATTGTCACTGTTGAGTCACATGCATCTTGCTTGTCAATCAGTTATATGGACATTGACAACCATATAACCTACTGTCTGTGCATTTTGGGTATAGAAAAAAAGCAACTGAAAGGCATGTAGAGTGAACTGGCCCTTAGGCTAGGTTCACACTTAGCGCTACGTGACTACATTTTTGCTTGTGGGTTTTTTTGCTCATTTTACACACATAAGGCAACCCATTAATTTCAATAGGCTACCCTACACACAACCAACGTGCCAAAGTAGCTGATGTGGATTATGGGCATTGGGGTTTTTTTTTAACCACTTGTCACCCACTAACAGTACATTTATTGCTAGTCTGCGAGCAGCACAGCCAGACACAGCGACGTACGCAGTGAACTTCCTGGTTTTCAGGCGCGCATACGCACATCCCCTGCTGACCTGTGCTGTGATTGGGCAGAGCACGAGTTTGTCAGTGGGTTTCAGCCATTGATTTTGGATGAAACCTGCTGATTGGCTGTGGCCAATCACAGCAAAGAGTTCTGTGTTTACAAACACACAGAACTCTGTTTACACAGAACAGCAGTCTGGCTGTTTTTTTCTCCCAGAAAAGCAGTGAGAAAAAACAGCCAGATCTGTGAGTAAAAGCAACACATATTACAATTGTTAGGCTCACAGTTAACCCCTTGATTTCCCCTTGATGTTAACCCCTTCCCAGCCAGTGTCATTAGTACAGTGTACAGTATTATCATTGATCACTGTATTAGTGTCACTAGCGATATCAGTGTCAGTTAGTATCCCTTCCAGCCAGTGTCTGTTAGCTCCAGATTGCCTGACACACTATCACAGTCACACTATAAGTTGCTGATCACCGATTATATATATATATATATATATATATATATATATATATATATATATATATAGAGTCTATTGCTGAGTAAATTCCAGTATACTGTATATCCCATAGTTTGTAGATTCTTTAACTTTCCCACAAAACAATTAATATACACTTATTGGCATTTTTGTTGTACCAAAGACATACATGCAGAATACATTTTGGCCTAAATTTATGAAGAAATTAATTTTTATTGGATATGTTTTATAACAGAAAGTAGAAAATATCTTTTTTTTTTCCCTCCAAATTTTCAGTCTTGTTTTGTTTAAAAAATCCCAGATGTGATCAAATACCACCAAAAGAAAGCTCTACTTGTGTGAAAAAAATTAATTTAGGTACAGTGTTGCATGACCAAGCAATTGCCAGTTAAAGTAGCACAGCACTGAATAGCAAAAAAAATGCTCTGGTCATGAAGGGGGTAAAACCTTCTGGAGGTCAAGTGTCTGATCACGTATTTTGATACGTTTGTCACACATTTTGAGGTGCTCAAAAATGTGAGTCTGCTTGTCATGTTTGGGATGCCATTAGCATGTTTTTTGCATGTTTTGTGAGCTCACACAACATTGTGCTTTTGCTCACTACTGGCACCTTGTACTTTGGTGAAATCTTATTTTATCAGTTAGATTGGAGTTCTCATCAGGATCCTCAAACTTTCTGGATTAACGTTTTCAACTTTTTCAGGCTGTGCTCTTAAGAAATTTGATTCTAAGGTAATAAGAGTTGCTGCCTTTTCCAGGCCTCATTGAAATATACTTTCATGTTTAAATCTACTGCAAAATTGAAAAGCCTGAATAATAAGTGTGAACTTTCTTAAAAGAATAATGGGAAAATTTCATTTTCTGCCCAGTATGAATAAAATTGACATAAATATCTTCGTGAGGCATGAACATCGATATGAAAAATACTGAGCTAAATAAAACCCTCTCCATGAGTTATGAAGGGATATAAAGTTTAAACACACTGAAAAAAAAATCTAATTCAGATATGTTTTCAAACCTTTTTCAGATGATAAGAAGCAATATGAACTGAGTATCTAAAGATTGCATTATTAGGAAGTTGAGCTATTAAAATGGATTTGCTTTTCCGATGAGCTCCTGAAGCCATTCACAGATGAACAGAGAAAGAACTGAAAGAGGAAGAATTGAAAGCTGGGAGATGAGAAAGTAAGATGTTTGTGAAAGTCGGTCTATCACATCCAAACTTCAAGCAATGACTTTAAAGTGTTACTAAACCCACAACAGTAAAATCAGTCTGTATATGCAGTAAAGCATGTTTGTTTTACTCACTGTGGAACCTAAGAGGTTAATCCTCTGAACTGTGTAAAAAGGCTGTTTGATCCTGTCTTCTCTGCCCCTCCTCTTGTTCAAATGTCCATGCTGTTAAGACAGACTGAACCCGTAGCCCTTATACACATGCTCAGTTTAGTGTGTATTGCTATAGAGGGTTTTTTTTTTTTTCTTGGGAGAGTGCATGTGATCAGCACGGGGCCAATCAGTACTGTCCAGACAGAGATCAGGGATTCTGCATCCTCCTAGAGCAGAAAGAAAACTCCTCCTACAAGCATTAACCTGTGCTCAGCTGAAGTCACAAGACTGCTCTAACAGCTGATGAAAAAAGGTATTTAGCAGTTTATATTTACTAAAATAATTGCATTTCCATGTTGTGTGTACTGTGGGAGACCAGATATAGTGAATGCAGGGTCCTGGGTTTAGTAACACTTTAAAGCGGAGCTCCACCCAAAAGGGGAAGTTCCGCTTTAAGAACTGCTCCCCTGCTCCCCATTAACGATTGGCACCTTTGGGGGGCGGGGGGGAGCAGGTACTCGAATTTTACAGGTACCCACTCCCACTTCCGGTCTGATCGCCTAGCAGAATGTGTCCTCCCTCCCTCCTTGTAGTCTTTTGGGACACGTGACAGGTCCCAGAAGACTATAGGACCATTCATGAAGCGCAGTTCTACTCGCGCATGCGCAGTGGGTACCCAACTGTGAAGTCGCAAGCAGTCACAGCCGAGTGCTCACAGTGAAGATGGAATCCAGGAGGGCTCGTGAAATGGGCTGCAGGGGACACACCCCGGGATCGTGGGACAGGTGAGTGGCTGTTTTTTAAAAGTCAGCAGCTACCGTTTTTGTAGCTGCTGACTTTTATTTTTTGACAGCGTGAGTGGATCTCCACTTTAAGTTCACAAAGAAGCTTTAATTATTGCTAAGGGAGCAACTGAAAGCCATACTATTCTAAAATAGCATACTTACGTACTTACAATTTTAAAGACGGGTTCGTAAAAAATAGTTGTTGCTGAGACATTCATAATGTAAAAGGTACAATAGTTAATGAAACATAAGGCATGATGAAAAACTAGAAATTAAAAATAAATGAATAATGTAGAACTGCCAAGTGTGCACTCTTTTTGAGACCAACGAGAAGGATCTTTAGTTTAAAATCACTCACTACCCTGACCAGCTAAAACCTAAAGATCATGTGGCCAGGTCCCTAGGCGCCTGTCATGGGATTGCAGCCAAAGGGATTTAGGGAACTGACATTTGAGCAAATCCAGCCAGTAAGTGACTCTGCCGGAAATGCCAGTCTTCTTCTTCTGCTAAGATTGCATAATCCGTGCCTCGGCATCTGGTCAGGTGTTCAGTACTGAGATGTTTGGTCATGTGGCTAGCACTGAAGGTAATGTGGAGGAACTGCTTATTCCGGATAGGCACATATTAAAGCTACTCTTTTAGCACGTACCAAGGAGAAGTTAATAACGTATATACAGTATATGTGCACTTTGCCTCTGTTCCTATTGGTTGTCTTGTAAGATTTTGTTATAGCAGAACTAAAGTCTTTCAATGAACATTAAAGTGGAACCTCACTCTCTCAATCAAAATTGACTATTTTTAATCCTTATGATGCATATACTGTATATACTTGTTTTTAAACTTTTTTTTTTTTACTTTTCCTCAGTTACTTCCTGGCTTCCAGGATTAGCCAAATGATGTCATACATCGCAGGAGTCTTCAGCAGAGAGGAGTTTTCTCAGCTAAGCACACCCTCCTACCCGCACGCCTGATCTAAGGGCATATGGATTACAGGAAGTAAATGCTAGATCAGGGATCTCCAAACTTTCTAAACAAAGGGCCAGTTTATTGTCTTTTATGGGGGCCGGACTGTGGCCAGCAGGAGTGGATATTTTTCCTGGCACCAGTGGGAGTAAACATTGCCACATTCATTTTTAGGGGGGAGTATTAGTGCCCCATCACTGGTATTATTAGGAGGAATTACTGCCCCGTTATTGGTGTCACTGGGAGAAATGGTGACCTATTTTGTTGGTATCAGCTGGCAGAATATTGTGCAGAGTAAGGAATAGTGCCCCAAGGGCCAGATAAAGGCAAGCAAAGGGCTACATCCGGCCCCAGGGCTG